GCATACTGCGTGTCTCGCTCAAAATGTTATGCCGCCAACAGCAAGTGAGGAGCGCCACGTGGAATCTGTGTCAGCATCCTCGGTGCGCTCATCTCACCTGGCACATCGACCAAACGCTGCATTTGATGACAGTGTGTTTTCTTCATGGCACAGCTCAGGAGGCCTACCGCAATGGTTGCATTACGATTTCGGTCACTCAGCAGCCCATGTCTGCGGATACACACTGCGAGCCCGGGTAGAAGCGTGCTGCGCGGCGGCTGATTCACCCGTCGATTGGGATTTTTTGGGAGATTTTGCAGATCAAATGCGAGTCTTGCACTCGGTTCGCGCTTCTGACCCGTGGACACCTGGCGAACAGCGCGCTTATTTGCTTGACTCTCCGATATCTGTTCGCAGTGTCCGTTGGGCGTTTCGAGGCGTTGGCGGCCGCAGGGATGGTTCCAGGTATGTTGTTCTCAGTCAGGTGTCCTTGCTTCAGAATTGTAGCCTCGCAGCGTTGTTGAACGAGTCAGCACTTGTAGATGTATTTGCGCCGGCCCTGCTCCTGCACGCCGAGGGCTGGCAAGAAGTTGAGAGCTGGATGGATTGGGCGACAGCGTCGACACCATGGACGTGGCGTGCAGACCTGACGTGGGAACTCGGGCGTGAGTTGCTCGCACTGTCACTGTATATTGCTCGAGGGTGGGTGTGACCCGTGGCCGTTTCGTCTTGGCGGTAAAGGTTGTGGCCGGAGTGCCAGCACGTGGCCGAAAGCTCCGCTAGATCACGAGCGTATGGTTTTTAGAAGGAGGTTGTCTCACCATAGCAAACTCAGGCTTGTGTTTTCGTCGGAAGCCCATCTGAAAATCATGTACGCGAAGAGACTCACTAGCAGGTCCGAATCAGAGTGCCCATCACGAGCGCTCTGCAGGATATTCCACAAAGAGCCGTGAGCGGCCTCGAGGAAGAGCTCCGGGGCCTTCGACCCCAGCGCGGTCTGGCTCATACCCTTGCGACACCACGAGGCGTGACCTGGCAACGCCCGTGAGCCGGTGGGAGAGCTTGGCGCGGTATTCAACGATTTTTGCCTCTTTGTCTCACCAGGCCTCGGTTGTGTGCGGGTGCTTTTTCTCTGACGGAGTTGGGCTGCCTCTGCGGCTGGACGCTGCCCGAACGATTCGCCGGCACGGCGCCCCAGAGGGGTTCTGCTTCTCCTGATCTTGGGCTCTGTCGCGCTCCGTCCTGTTCCAGCATCCTGCTGCTGCTCCACCAGCTGTTGCCCAAGTCTGGTTGCCAGGATAGGCAGTGGAGTGTCTGCTCGCCGCCGCTCTCTGCCCTCGAGCCGTCGCTGTTGGCAAGTCGTGCCCGCGGTCGGCGGTCGAGCCCTGCGTGGGGCTCTGTGCGTTCCGCCCTCGTCCTTCCCTTGCGTCATGATGTTCCAGCCTTCCTTCAGCCACGCGCAGAGGGGGGCTGGGGGGAGGTGGGAGGGCTTCTTAGAAGCACCCCTGCTTCTTAGAAGGCGCGGGCCTTTTCTATAGATGCAAGGCCGGCGCCTTCCCTCCACCCCCTTGTGCGCGCCGCCAAGTCTTCCAGGGGAACGAATAACGACACAAACATAACAACTGGGAAGGCTGCGGGGGGTTCTCGTATCTGCGGTGGACCCCCCCTGGCGGCGCCTCCGGCCCCTGGCGCGCTCCGCGCGCCAAGGACGGGGGTCCAGCGCCGACCCGAGAAATCCTCGCAGGCCTCAGTGTTTTTATGTTTATGTCATTGTTCGTTCCCCTACCTTCGGCAATGCCGAAACTGGATGGCCCTAAAGGGCGACGCCCTTGGGACAGTTTTCCCGAGTCGAGCCCTGGGAGCCGATGTTCGCTCGACATTTCGCCGGCGTTTCGGGCAGACATCGTTTCGATGTTTTGGGTGTTCGACACGATGTTTGGGATGTGGTCCCTAAGTACGATGGGGATAACATCATGCTCTTTCTTATTCTCCCGTCCTCGCGGTCGTCGTGGTGGTTTGCAGCTGCTTCGGCGTAGTTGACCAGCGCGCCGCCCCCGGCCGGCCCCCGCCCGCGGCCCGCGCGCCAGGGGGGCTGCCATTGGTCGTGGACGTTCAGGACTACGTCGGCTTCTTTGCGGGTTGCGCTTCAGCTGGCTCTTGCCGGCCCCACCTCACGCGGTGTCCCGCAGGGCCCCGCTCGCAGTGGCTCTTGGGGCCCTTCGTGGTGCGGCGGCTCCCTTGGCCCCGCTTGCGGCGGCTCGTCGGGCTCTGCGCTTCCGGCGCTGGCTCCTGGACACCGTGGGCTAGGTCTTGCTGCCAGTGGCGCCTTTTTCTCCTTCGCCGCTGCAGAACGCATCTCCTTCCTCTCCTGGCCCACCCCAAGGCTTTTCATCCGAGGAAGAGGAGGACGAGGGCGAGGAGCTCGCACGCAGATGCGCCACGCGTTGCACCGTGGTGCAGTGCCAATTCGCCTCAGACGCAGAACGGTCTGCAACCGCGCCAACCGACTACGACGACCGCCCGAGAGAGCCCCCCGCGGCGCAGACGGACGGCCTCTGCGCGATCGTTTCCGCTGGCGGGCCCAGCCGTTCCTCGCGCGACCGACGTCGACGTCGCACGCCTGACACCAGGCCAGACGTCGAATGGCGCGAAGACAGTTGTGTTCGAGGCAGGGGCGTCGGAGTGAGCGGACCCTTCCAACCTCCACCTCTCCCCCACCCTCGTGCTTACACAGTGGCTCAACCTTGCGGCCCGGCGGGGGGTCTCACCTCACGACCCCAATTCCGCGCACTTGTTTGGTGGCGCGGGTTGCGCGCTGACGCTGTTGCGGCCTCGCAGCGTGCGCTGAGCGGGTTGCTGCCTTTCGGCCCCGCCTGCGCGCTGCCCGCTCTAGTCGTCGGGCAGGCGGAGCCGCCCCCAGGTCTCGCTGGCTTGGAGGTTGGCGATCGCGTGCCGCCCTCGGCCCTTTTGCGCCCCGCTGCCGCCGCGGATGGGCCCAGCGGGACGGGTCGCACCGGGAACGCGCGTCGCGGGTGAGCGGCCCCGCCGGTAGGAACAGTGTGACAACGACGGCTGCTGCGCCGGGGTTCAGCGGCGGCGGGGCACAGTGCGGGCACCTGAACAAGTCAGTGGGTCAAGGGTGCGATGCAATCAGTGCCTGGACCACTCCAGGTGGGAGCGCAAGCGCGGCGTGCCCAGCAAGATTCTGGGCCGCGGAACCGGCGGGCGACAGAATCAAGCCCGGGGCCCCAGCGCGGCGGCTGCAGGGAACCAGTCTGCGCCATGGCGGCGCGCGGAGGGAGGGAGAACCCATGCCAAAAAATACCCGGCATGCCTCTCGCGTGCCCTGAGTTTCTTGGGTGTCGATGGTTTTGCGATGGAAAGTGCGACGCTCCCACGTCGAAAAATCAATGGACGTCCTGGGGTCTCAGGGTTGGGTTCCTTGTGGGCGGTTTTTCGATGTCGGGCTCCTGCCAAATTAGAGTATCTACATCGGGCCGCTGAAGAAGGAACCCTTCTCGTCGGGGAGGGGCTCTGTTCTCCTCAGCTGCTTTACGTTCTGTTTTAGATTGTCCTTGGATTCTCCATGGGAGGTCGAAGTTTAATGTTGTGACTAAACGGGATCCCTTCCTTATTTGGGGTTCCTTGTGACAGAGTTTCGGCAGCATGCTGGTTTTTGTAACATCCCCTCGGCCCCACTTTGATATTGGCGGGCTGCGCCGCGATGCGTCGATCTGTCGATGGGTTAACTCCTGCATCCCACTGGCAATGCCAACCGACATTACATCGGGGGCAGTGCTGGCGCGTTGAATGCTGCGCCGACACACCTGTCGCGCGGGTGGCGCAGGATTTTGCCTGTCAGCCGAAATTCGTATGATATCCGACGCGCACTCAGATCCTCCCCGATCCCACGATTCGATGCGGACTGGGTCCTGCCCAGAGGATCGGGCGAAGAGGTCTATGCACAGGCACCGATCCTGGCCATGCCTCTCCCGAGTTTAGGATCGGTGCGCATTCCGTTCTGGCCAGGGCCGGAGGGCGCACGCACCGATCCTGGGCCCTGGATGTGCTTGGCCACGGTTGGTGAATGTTCTGCATACGGCATCTACACACCACCTTTCCCTCCTCCTCCTCCTCCACCTCCTCCCCCTATTTCTCTTCCACCTCCTCCTCCTCCTCCTCTTCCTCCTCCTCCTCCTCCGCCCTCCTCCCCCTCCGCCCTCCACCCCCTCCGCCCTCCTCCTCCTCCGCCCTCCTTCTCCTCCTCCTCCCCCCTTGTCTTCCCTCCCCTCCTCCTCCCCTCCTCCTCCTCCTCCTCCTCCTCCTCCTCCCCTTCTCTC